TGCTTTGGATCTATGTTTTCTCTAATATACATGCAAACTTTCAATATTCCAAAGCATCATCCTAACTAGCATACAATGGAGTATCTATACCACAAAATTCTAGTTAGATGACATACCTTTTGTTGTAGTTGAAAGTATTGAACCTTTAAGAGCTTAGCACCAATAGTATGAATGCCTCAAATGGAATTACAACACACCTAGGACAAAGGATAACTTTTAACAGAGTATGGTGCACACAAGAATTCGGCTCTATAGCTCTCCAAGATCATCTAGTGCCATTTCACCAACCAAGGGGCTTCTTATATAGTGTGGCACAACTAGGGTTGCACCATGCAAACCCTAGTGTGCATGACTTTCCACATTCCTTAGGCTCCATGGGTTTTAACCTCCATGGAGTATCCATGGGTCACCATATGGGTTTGGCCCAACATAAATAACTATGGATCATAAGCCCACTTTATAAGAATGAATGATTTACCAAATCAATCCCCATTTATTTAATTAATCTCTTTTGATCACAAAATTAATTCCAAACTAATTTTTGATCAATACTAATTAAATAATATGATTTCATATTAATATATTAGAACTTATAATATATTAACAAATCATAAATAACCTCTTCTCAAAAGTCCATCCTATCAAATTGTCCTGGTGATATGCAACCCAAATGGACCATGCTACTCTCGGGTCAAGTACATACCAATTATAGTTATGGACTTAGACACTAATCCAACATATCCTTGTTGTCTTAGCCCACCCAAATAACCATGGATCATTGGCCCACAGTATAAGAATAATTGATTTACCAAATCAGTCCCCGTATATTTAATTAGTCTCTTTTGATCACCAAATTAATTCCAAATTAATTCTTGATCAATACTAATTAAATAATATGATTTCATATTAATATATTATTCTTGCAATATATTAACAAATCAAAATTAACCTTATTCTCAAAAGTTCATCCTATCAATTTGCATTGATGAAGGAAACCCAAAAGGACCATGCTACTCTTGGGTCAAGTACATACCAATTATAGTTATGGACTTAGACACTAAATCCAACAATATGTGCTAAATCTGATGTGTTTCAAGTCATTTATGATTTTCACGCTTATGTCAAAACTCAATTTTAACATGGCATTCAACTTTTTGTGTGTGATAATGGTCGTGACTTTTCAATAATTAACCATCGCTTCATTATAGTCTGGTTTTTCGTGCCCATTGACTTCACAAAAAATGGAAAATTTGAGCATAACATCTTCTCGATAAACAACATCCTTGTCAATTTCTTGTTTCAGGCTTCCTTTCCCCTAAAGTTTTAGGAAGACTCTTTTCTCACTGTTGTTCACACCATTAATCTTCTTCCCACTACTACTCTTGGCCATAAAACTCGCTTTGAAAATTTATTTGGTTTTTCCTCAATATGATCATCTTCGTTTGTTAAGTTGTCTTTAATATCCAAACACATCATCGATAGTTCAACATAAAGCTCTCTTCATGCTCATTTGCTCATGTTTACCTTGGCCATTCTCTTTATCAACGAGGCCACCACTGCCTTGATCTCATCATGAAACGTGTTCTTATCTTATATCACGTCATTTTTAATGTGGATCTTTTCCCTTACTATAATTTTTATAATGTTGCTCAAATATCTAACTATGATCCTCTTGTCTTTGAATATCCCTTTTCCTCTGGCCTCTATTACCCTTCCTATTGCCTCACATACGACATCTCATGTCATCTTGGGATCTGATGATCACTTATCTTCTTATCACTCGTACTTGACTACCCATACCCCTTCTCCCCCTCCTATTTCAAGTTATTATATGACTTCTCGTTCTCATACTGGTTACCTTAAACTACATCAAATCTTTAGCATCTTTGTCACCTCATACATCTCACCCATTCCATGATCCATCACCCAAGCTCTAAATGACCCACACTAGAAGTATATCATAGATAGTAAGATATCTGCTGTCAATTCTAACCATACGTGTGATCTTGTTCCTCGACACATGCCAACATTATTGGTTGTTGATGGTTACACCATCACTAATTTGATAGCAAAGACATTCGTGATTGTTACAAATGTTATCTTTTTGCTCAGGTTTCTCTCAACAACACAACATTGATTTTGATGATACCTTCAACCCCGTTATAAACCTGTTACTATTCATACAGTTCTAGGCATTTCACTTTCCAAAAATTGGTCCATCAATCAACTTGATGTTATAAATGATTTTCGTTATGCTGATGTCACGAAGGAAGTTTACCAAACATCACATGGTTATGTTCATTCGAACTTTCCAGATTATGTATGTCATTTGTACAGGGCTCTTGACGGGCTCAAACAAGCACCTCGTTCTTGGTACCAAAAGTTTGATGTTTTCATCTCTACCCTCAACTTTTGCAATAATCGTTTTGACTACTCTTTATTCACCTATCACCGAGGATCTGTTCACACACACACACTCACACACACACACATACACACACACAAATATATATATATATATATATATATATATATATATATATATATATATATGCTCCTTTATGTTGATGATATCATTCTTACCGCTTGCTCGTCTTCTCTAGTCACCGTTGTTTTTCTTGTCTGTCTCGTGAGTTCACAATGACAAACTCATGTCCTCTCTCATTCTTTTTCGGTATTGCGACCTCTCGAACTACCAATGGGCTCTTTTTGTCTTAATTTTCCTTTGACCGTATAATCCTCTCTCTTGCCGACATGATATCATGCAATGCATGTAGACTGTGACCGATACCAAGATCAAGCCCTCTTCTCACGACACTTATGTAGCATATCCCACCCTCTACAAGATCTTTGCGGGAACCCTATAATACCTGACTTTCACTCGTCTAAATATTGCTTATGTTGAACAAATCTTCCTTTTTTTAAATCATCCTCATGAACCACATTTTTGACACTTAAGCATATTCTTAGTTATATTCTAGTAACACTTTTGTATGTCATACTTATTCGACTTTTATCCGTTGATCTTTTGGTTACTTACTCTAATACTGAACGATTGAGTGTCATCAAACCCGCCATTTGAATTCAAGCTTTTGTGTCTATTTTGGTGATAATTTCATGTCGTGGTCTTCTAAGTGTCATCATATTGTCTCTCGATCCTCAGTTGTAGTTGAGTATCGGGGGTAGCTAATGTTATTGTTAAAGATGACCGACTTCATAATCTTGTCTTCAAGTTATCTTGTCCGTTATCTAAAGCAATGATTGTTTTCTATGACAATGTGAGTGCTATGTATTTAGCTTCTAACCCTGTACAACATCAACGAACAAAACATGTGGAAATTAACTTACATTTTGGTACGGAACACGTTGTCACCGGATATTTGTTTGTTTTGCATGTTCCATCGGCTTATTAGTTTGCAGAAATATTTACAAAATGACAACACACTTAGTTATTTTTTTAGACTTTCGACACAGTTTAAACATTTATAAACCACTTGCTCAAACTGAAAGGGTGTGTTAAATTAGATTTATATTTCATTTATACATTGATGTATAGTATAGAGGTCCTATTATAACATATTATATCATATATACGTACGGTGCAATCCTTATGAGGTTTTTCCACGAATCGAACACTATGGTGTTTTCGAAATCATTTCATGTTTGATGGGAAAAAAAACTACAGAAATACAAGCTCTTTCGTCCTATTAGAAAATTATCTTTTAATTCGTTTATACTAGGAACGTGATGATGATGCTTTTAGTTGGGGTCAATTGACTAAAAAAAATCCAATCAATTCCATTAATTATATGAAGTTGTTCTAAAAAAATAAAAAATAAAAAATATAATATATGCTAGGGTGAGAATGTGATTAAATGTGCATTTTGTATTTGATTATCTTATAAAAGTGACTTTGAAGTCATATTAACCAAATTTAATTCTTGGATAAACAAATTATATTCTTAAATATACAATTGTTATGATAAAGTAATTTTGTTGTTAAATATCTAATTGTTATCACATTCAATATGCTATTGTTTCAAATAGTAGAATAAAAACACTTTTTTTAACTAACTACTATTTCACAATAGGTATCTTCTTTTGTGGCGACATGTTTTTTTTTATCATATTGTATACGTTTATTAAATAATTAGATTTTTTGAACATTCCAAGACTTTTTATTTAATAAATGGCTAGTGGCCCAGCCAAATTAGGAGCTGACGTAAAAAGTTTCTTCTTTAAATGTTAAGATGCGGGAGTTAGCCATTAAAAAAACATCAAGAACGCAAAACAACAATAAAAATCCAAATAGCACTTCTTATCATGAATTCAATTCATTAATGATTCTTTTGCTTATCTAATAGTATAATAAAATCTTTCAAAAACATTAAATGAGTAATTCGAAATATTGGCCGTTCCAAAAAAGAAAAAGAAAAATAAAAAATATGAAAAACCTAGGACCGGCTAGTTTGGTCCCAACACAAGACCATGAACCGTACTTGAACTTTATGTTAATCTTTTAGTCTACTTCCTTACTTAAAGGTGCCCTTTTCATTTAAAAAAAAAAAAACAAAAACAAAAAACAAAACAAAAAACAAAAAGAAAAAAAAAAGGAAAAAAAAATCGATTTAACACGACCAAGAAGAACTGGATTTTTGCTATATTCATAACCAAGTATACCAGTTTGGCTTCTATTTGATACGATTTTGGCTTGTTTCCTTACAGAAATTATATAATATTCTTCAAACTTGCAAAATAAAAGTAAGAAAAGTCATTTGTAATTTGATATGTAGAGGAGGGAGCGAATTACATTTCTCGGATTAGTAAAAAAAACACCAAGCTTGAACCTACCCACCAAAATTCTCCTCTTCCTCTTCCTCTTCCTCTTCTCATATTTTCTTCCTAAAAACCATATAAACCTACTTACCTAATTAACTAACACCCATTGCTTTCTTTCTCTTACCAAAACAAAGAACGAAAAGCATATACGTATGAAAAACTTAGAGCCAAAGAGCACCCGCCTCCTTCAAAAGAGGCACAAGGGTGCCATTGATATGGGAAGCCATGACTCTGTCCATGGCACCCACCAGCTTTCCGCCGACGAACACCACCGGCACCGGCGAAGAAGTCCCCAGCAGCATCATCAGTGCCTTCTCCATGTCGTTCCCCAGAGGTTCTTGGTCGAGCTCGTAGACTGTTGGGTTAACTCCCATGCCGCAGAACAGCCTCTTGATGGCATGACACATGCAGCAGCCGCTCAGGCTGAATATCACGACGGCATTCTCGCCGGCGAGTTGCTCTATACGGTGTAATGGGCCGTCGTTGAAGCTTGCTGTTGTTGTCGTTGGCAAGTAGGTACCCCATGATTCGGTTTGGTAATGCATACTTTTTGTTTTGTTCACTCAGAGAGAAAGCAACGAGACGATCTGTATGATTTGAAGTATTCTTCATGAGTTCGGATGTGGGTGTATTTATAGAATGGATTAGGCGGGTCCAAGTTAGGCCCAAAAGAGTTTATGCCCCAACTAATATATATATATTATATATATAATATATATATATATATATATATATATATATATATATATATATATATATATATATATATATATATATATATAGGGTTAGGTTAATGTGAGACCACTAGATTTTGTGAGACGGAGAGACCAAATCTTGACCATTCATCTTGAATAATCAAAGACTGATATTAATTTAGATTAAACCATAAAATAGGCGGTGGCAATTTTGTAAATTAATGAAACTTTGGGATTAGATCAAGACACAGAGGGGCAGGAATGGAATTTTGCATTCTTTTTCGTTCAATACACAAAAACACCCGGTATTCTTCCTAAAAAACCCTAGATACGAACACTAAAACTCATTTGATCCAAATCTCGATCATCGTTCTGCTTCCAAATCTCGATCATTATTTCAGACTCCTTATTCTCATTATACCTTAAATTCATCTTCGGATTCTTACAAGAAAACCCTTTATAATCAACTAGAACATTCAAAACCTTTTGATTTTGAATTTGATATCGAATCAAATGACTCATTCTACAGATTCTGATTTTGATTTTGTATCAACAGCTGTTCCAAGTAAGTATAATACTATAAACCGCTTGTTCTTATTCAATAAACCTATCTGTTCTTATTATAGAAAGTTTTTTCACTTTAAATCGTTGTGTATCTTCAATAAATGTCTAATAATCGAGATATTTCACTAACGATTTATATTGTCGAAGTCAGGATGTAATGGAATATAGCATTATAAAACATACAATCTAAACCTAAATCTCAGTGTGTGATTTATATAGAGTATGTGTATCTAAATGTTAACTCTACATGTTATTCAAAGGTGTTCTAATTATTCCTCGTTTCATTTTATCTAAATATTCTTAATCAAAATCAGCAAATATGTTATGTTATTCTAACTAATTATTCATCATTTAATTAGATTTAGATCCATAAATTGTCTAATACTATAGATTTTGGTAACATAAATCTCTTCTTATGATTGTAGTATAGTGTTTAGCCAAAAAAAATCTTTGTATTCTAGTGAATTTTATGTTGATTGATATTAGAAATTTGTTGTTATGTATTTATAGAACTGTGACCAGATTATATATCCTCAACTAATATGAATTCTAATGGAATTTGTTGTTATTGATGCAGCTAAAAAAGTGCAAACAAATGCAACTGTAAGAAAAACAGGGAAAGAAATTTATATAGATAAATGTATAAATTGTAATTACTTTTAGATTAAATATTATAATTGCTTTTAGTAACTTCTAAATGCTTTTAATAAATATTCTAATTGCTTTTATTTGATAATTTTCTTCATACATATTCAGGGGATCAAGATAGGGTTAAAAAAGGTATGAACACACTTTCTTTCAAATAATTCATAAAAAACAAATGTTTGGATTTATTTTTTAAGTTAATTATTCTGAATATTCTAATTTTGTTTATCATATATTCTAATTGATTTTAATTGTTAAATTTCATGATACAGATTTGCAAATTGTAAATCAAAAGAAAAGAAGGCAAATGAAGGAAAATCAAAGAAAAAAATTAAAAAAAAAACTGTTGTTACTTCTGAAAGCAACTCTAATCCTTCTTCTTATTCATCCTCACACAGCATAGAAAAAGAATTAAAAAGGGTATCAACAATCATTCTTTAAAATACTTACAAAAGAAATTTTTTGGATTTATTTTTTTCAGTTGATTATTATGAACATTCAAATTGATTAAAATAAATATTCTAATTTATTTCAATTTTTAAATTTCTCCACACAACTAAAAATACAAAAAAAGAAAAGACTTGAAAAGAAAAAAAAGACACTATGTTTCAGATTCTTCATTTTCACAGTCAGAGACATCAGAGTCAGAGACATCCACAACAGAGAGTGATGAATATGGTAAATATGTTGTCGTTGATAATAAATATGTTGACATCCAATAAAAGAATATTATATTCTTCTAATAGAATAATTATTGATGCGGATAAAGTAAATAAAAAGAAAAAAAGCAAAGTCAAAAAACATTTCAAGCGTCACAGCAAATTAATCCATAATGATGTGAAGCACAAAAAGAAAAAGCATGTTTCTGATTCTTCAACAGAATCAGAGACAGAATCAGATACATAGTCAACGGGTAAAATAATCTAAACTTTTTTTTTTCTGAAATATGATTTTATACTTTATAATTCCAATTATACGGACAATAGAAATATTAGAGTGTTTCTAACAATAATTTTCATAGCCTATGTTTGACATGAATTGCTTATGGATCATAACTGAAATTCTAAGTATTTTGATGTGAAAGTATTTTTCTAGTGTTTATTGATGTGAAAGTATGTTTCTATGATATGAAATGTTTATGGTTCATATTACACATTCTAGATATTATTATATCATAAATCATATAATACTTGATTTTTGTTGTTTTACTTAGCTGATATAGGATTTTGCAGCATTTGAGTTTAATTTTTTATAAATAATATAATTTGAATAAATATCTATATTTTACTTAGATGATATAGTATTTTTGGATTAAATTTCATAGAATATTCTGATATAATAAGTGTATATATTTAATATTCTGTTGGAATATTACTTTGTAATTAGACGATATAGGATTTTTGGATTTTTGTGGTGTTACTAACATTTATGACTGATGTAATGAATTAGACGATGAATCTGATGAAGAAATCTATGTAAAAAAGAGAGCCGGTGATAGAAAATATGTTAAAGGAGTGACAAAGATTAAAGAAGCAAAAAGGAAGAGGAATAGTGGGGACAATCGTGCAGCAATAAAGAAGCAAAAAATCGTGAAAGAGCAAAAGACTGTGAAAGATATATTGAAGGAGTTGCCTTCAACAAACACTAGATCAACAGCTGGATTAATGACAGATGTTGTAAGTTCTTTGACATCAGAACAAAAAGATTGGGTGAAACAGATGAGATTTAAAGCATTTTTGAAGATCAACATTAAGAGTATTCCCTTAAAACTTTGCCATTTTGTGCTTGAACATTATGATGAAGGCACAAACAGTATTCTGATTAAAGGAAAAAGAATAAAGATCACAAAGGAAAAAATTCATAAAGTGTTTGCTTTACTCAAAACTGGAAAAAGCTTATTTGACTTGGACATGGTTAGCGAAGATCATCAAGTGTTTGATGGATGGATGAAGGAACTTGAAGGTGGAAAGGAACATGCAACAAACTACAAGAAGATTATTCAAAAATCTGAAAAAGTGGATATGAATTTCAAGCTGGGTTTCATAGCTTTATTTGTTAATACGTTTGTAGAATCCATTCCTATGGGGACAAACAACTTAGTTCCAGTTAGAGCACTTGTTGAAGTAGATGACATTTCTAAAATCGATTGGTGTGCGTATTTGTTGTACTATGTGAAAAATTCAAAAGGGAGATGGCGTCCAGACAACCCCAAGTGTTATTACAGAAGCCCGATGTTGTTGCTATTGGTATGTTTTTTCATATACTTGTTTTTTTCTTAAAAATTGATATCTAATATGATGTTGAAATAATGCAGCTAATTTACTGTGATGACATTGAATGCAAGCTCCAAAAAATAGAACGTAAAACATCATTAGTTACGATGTGGATAGCAGATAAGTTGAAGGAAAGAGAATCTTTTGAGATTGAAGCTGGTGGATTTGGGGTTGGAAATCTAATTGAACAAAGTTCAAATTTAGAACGTGAGAAAAATGAGAATCAGGAGAATGAGAATCAGGACACACGTATTGAGGTATATTCTAAGTAGAATATATTATTAAATTATGTTTTAGAATATATTTTAATTATGTCCTAACTTAATATAAGAAAAATATTCTAATGTCTTTTTTTCCCAGGAGTATGAAAAAAGTTTCAACAATGTCTCAACTAAAAAGGATAATATGGAAGATATTATTTTTCATTGTCTATCGAAATTTCCTGAAGACAATAGAACGAAGGAGATGATAAGGAAGTTTAGAGACATATTTTCAACTACACTTTTTTCTAGTCGAGAGAAATCAGAAACTATTAAGGAGAGAACTGAAGTCAAAGCAGATAGAGATGAAGAGCTTAATAAAACAAACATTTCTGATTTTATTGATGATAAAGATGAAGGTATGAATACAAAGTTGGTTGTATTTTTAGCGGTTAAACCATTACAACAGAAGTTTCCAGAGAATGAAGAAAGACAATAAGAAGATCAAGATATGAATGTTGACGACCCAATAAATTTGGGTTTAGAGAATAATATTGGCGAGGAAACTATTAGACATCCGCACAATCCAGAAAGACAAATAGAATTTGAAGGCATAAATGTTGATGACAAAATAAATTTGGCTTTAGAGGTGAATAATATAGACGAAACTATTGAAAAAAAGAATTTAGAAGAGAATGTTGAGAGCAAAAATCTTGTTGAGGGTGGTGAAATGATTGGTGGGGATAAGATTAGGGAGGGGAATATTGTAGAGAAGGTGGTTGGAGACAACATAGGTGAGAACTCAATTGTTACACCAAAACACGATCCAAAAGGTATGAATATTGTAGACAAGATGCTTGGAGACAACAACATAGGTGAGAGCTCAATTGTTACACCAAAACACAATCCAAAAGGTATATCTATTGATTTTTCCCCTTGGTCTGATTCATTCATAGAAAAATTAGATGAAGATTTGTTTAGAATATTCTCAAACATAAATCCATATTCAAATACAATTCCAAATCCAGTTGTTAAATCTCCTGTTCCAAAAAAACTAACATTTGAAAATTTAGAATTTCCTTCCTTTGATCTTCAAATAACCCAACTAATGAACGATGTAGAAACTGGTGATAATTCTGAGGGTAATGATGAAGATGGAGAGTTAGAAGGGAATGAAGAACATATTTTAGATGAGAATGGGAAAAAGGGTCAGAATGTGAATGAAAGAGGGAAAAGGAAGGTGACTAATCCAGATATTTTTAGATTACCTTTTGTGAATAGGGTAATTGACTTAAGTGAAAAAGTCAGTAATGGGCAAGAGATGATGGCGCAAATCATGTTAAGATGCGCTGGAGACAAAGATCCAATGTAAGTAAATTCACAATGTTTAGTAATTTTTTTATTACATATGCATATTCTTGAAGGAATACTTTTATAAATTTGAGTATTGTGTAATACTCTTATTGGAATATTGTAACACTATTCAAAAGAAAATATTATTCTAATTAATTTACATTAGTTTTAGTTAAATAATATATTTTAACTACAATGCAATATTTTTGTTTGAAGGGAAATGTTGTTTGAAACCGAGTCTGTAGACATAATGGATATGGTGTATTTTGAGGGTATGCGTCCAAATCATAAGATACATCCTTTCGTTATTGATTGTTGGGCTGTTGTTCTTAATTTTGAAGAAGAAAACCTGAGAAACAAAAAATCACCACCACGTGTCTTTTTCAACACTCAAATTATGGACGTATAATTTTAAATTTATTTTCTATATTCTAATTATAATTTATAACAATGTATTCTAATATTTCTATTGTTCTATATGTACAGACAGAAAAATTATTGGATTCTTTAATACCTTTTGTCGAAAGATTCCGACTTTTTGACGAGGCTGTAAACAATTACTTATATGACATCAAAAGAAAAGTGGATTTCAATTCTATTAATCTGGTATGTATTTTTTATTACAATATAACATATTCATATTAAAATTTATAAAATTCATCTGTATTTATGTTTGAACTACATGTGTTTTTTCCAATACACAACCGTGGTCATTTTTATGGTCTTCTTTTCAAAGTTACAAATCCAGAACATATAATCATTAACAGCATAAGATACACCAAAAAAGTAGAAGATATCTATGGAGAGATTCCTAAACTTATGGTAAATGTTTCTTGCATAAATCTAAAAATTTTATTTTAATCATAATTGTTTACTTTAAAAAACCACTATGTATAAGTAAATAAATTCTGATTATAAAATATAATATTTATATTCTTATAAGATCTATTTACTTAATATAGTTATAATTTTAGAAAAATAATGGTATTTTATTAATATACATTGCAACAAATGTACTTTTCAAAGTTTTTGGACAACAATCGGCAGGATAAGGTTTCTTTGTTTAAATCTGTGAAGCCAAAGAAAATGAAAATTGCATGGCAAACAAAAGCTAAGACAAATGATGATGGTATATTTTTGATGAGGCACATGGAAAAATACATGGGTGAGAAAGAAGAAAGTGGGATGTGGAACTGGGAGAAGAAAGTGTTAGGACATCTAAGAAGATTGCAAAGTTGCGTACGTTTTATGTTGCTAAGCTAGCAAACCATCAAATTAACAAGCAGAGAAAATTGAATGTTGCAGAAGCATTGGAATTTTCAAAACTTGATAAGAAAACTTGGTGTATGTTGGTGAAAGAAGGGAGTGAAGCAAGAGACAAGCTGGAAATGAAGAAAGTTTGAAAATTTCTTATATTGACTTATTACATACAAACAATTTATTTTATGTTGTGTTTATTTAAAAATACTTATGTTTGAGGATATGATTAAACCATTGATATTTTGGTAAATGATATGTTTAAACCAGTTAGTTGGTATCTTGATAAAATATTTACTCCTTAATAGTAAATGATATATAGCATTAAAATTTTTGTTTGATGATGCCTAATTATTTGATTAAAGAGTTGTTTGGTAAAATGATAAATGATTAAAATCCATATATGTTTATTATTCTTATACAATAATGTTGACAAATAAAAACACATATTGTTAATATTGTATTAAGTTTATTCTAATTTGTTTTATGTTAATTATTCTGATTATTCTGGTTTCATTAAAATACTTAATAATAAAACATTTTATTTTCTAACTATAGCATAATATGTAATTTTGTTTTAGAATAATTTAATAAAAAGAATAATTGAAATTAGATTTAGTATCTTGTTACAATAATAAAAAATTAGGATAATAAACTTTTAGTATATTTTAGGACATCTTACTTTAGAAAATATAGTACATTATCTCTATTAGTAGAAGTAAAATTTTAGAATAAATGAAAATATTTGTAATTAAGTAATTTTATTTTAGAATTAAAATAATATCGTAACTTTGTTTTAGAATATATGTAATTAAGTAATTTTATTTTACAATTAAAATAATATTTGAACCAAAGTGTAAGTTTTTAAATTAAAAGGGACTAAAAATACTAGGACTTATTTGCCAAGGACGAAAAAGGGACAAATGTAATAACTTTGAGATTACGACTTATTCACGAGGGAAGAACATTAAAATGAAAAAACTCAATTTCTTCATCTGTATTTCTCAAAACCCTCTTCCAAACTTCTTATCACTTTCGGTTTTAAATACTCCATCAAAACCCTAACTTCTTGTGCTTTTGAACTCGTCATCTTCGATTTCTCCTTGGATCGATTTCATTTTCTTATGTTGTGAATCCGATTTTCACTTGAAAACATCGATAAAAACCCTAAAAACCTTGTCATATCGATTTTAAACTTTTTGATTCATATTCTGGTCTTTAATCCCTCGATAAAACCCTAAACTTACTTACTTTCATTCTTATCGAGTATTTCTATCAACGAAAATGGCTACATCAACACGTGCTTCAGAATCTACACAATCAGATCATCTAAATAACATTATTACCAAAACTTCTCAAGAAATTACAGGTATTTCAATAGTTTTGTTAATTATCATTTTATATCCTTGTTTCTGTTTGAAAACGAAGATGTTGCTTCGAGAATTGATCTTCTATTGTTGCTCCAGTCTCCATATCTACTTACTAATAATTAGGGCATTGGGCTCTTGTATCTTAGTGAGTCCCATTATTAGGATCATAAAGTGAAATAGGTGAAACGAAATAAAATAAGATGAAAGATACAACATACCTTCAAGAAGCAAGTGAAAATGTAGAAAATAACATCAAATTAGGCTTCTATTAATCAATCCAGTTTATGAATCAAACCAGCAGGAGTAAGTATTATGATCCTAATAATGGGACGATTTTACCCCTGTTTCAAAAATGGCTGGTTTGAGAGATTTTTAGAAATTTTGACTTATACCTTGTTGAAAGTTAAAATTAGGTGACAATCCCCTGGTGTACGTATTATGATGAGTTAGAATATAATTTTGAAATAAATGTAAGTGTTTTTCTATTACATATAACAATTAAAGTGTATTTACCATTTATTATTTTCATGCAGCTAATATTATAACAAGACTGACAAAATCAAAAATAAAAATGATGACACTGGGTAGAAGTAGTGAAGTTGAAACTTCAACAGACAAACGGTTGGTTCAGAAAAGAAAATCAAAAGGTACATCATCAGTTATTTTATTCTAATAAAATATTTATCTCACTTGTTTCTGTTATTCTATGTATTATAATAAAATATTTTATATTCTATTAAGGTTTTTCTATATTCTATTAATCTTATTCTAATAGAATATTTATAAATATTAATCTAATTTGTTTATGTTATTCTATGTACTATAATAAAATATTCTATGTGTTATAATACAATATATAAGAATAAATGATATATTGTGTATTCTATGTATTCTAATAAAATATTTATCTCATTTGTTTATGTTATTCTATGTATTACAATAAAATATTCTATATTCTATTAATTTTTTTCTATATTCTATTAATCTTATTCTAATAGAATATTTTTAAATATTAATCTAATTTGTTTCCTTATTCTAATAGAATATTTTTAAATGTTACTCTAGATATTTGGATATGATAAATCAATTATTAATTCCTATTTTGATTCTGAAAATGGCAATAAACAGCAAGAAGGCTGGATATGGGTAAAACTCATGAAAAAACTTCAATAGCCGAACGACTAATTGAAAGAAGAAAATCATTGAAGTTTATTGATGAATGAGCCCATACAATAGCAAAAGCCAAAAAAAGGTATATCATCAATTATTGTATTTGTACTATAATATCTTGTGTATTAATGTTATTCTAATAGCAAGAATGTCATATATAGGTAAAATTCATATTTGTTATTATTGAGTATGCATTTACAATTAGAGTTAGCCGAAACATTTTACATAGTTCGTTTTAATTGGAGATTTTGTGTTGACTAATAACATGTTAGTTAAACCCTAATGGGTTTTTGCCTAACCCTAATCACTAATAGTTTGGACTTAATTATGCGATTAGGTACTTAAGTCATGATAATTAAAGTTTGGAAGAAAGTTTCCATATAATCAATTTGAATGATCTTTCCCTTATGCAAAGTATTGACGATTTTACCCCTGTTTCAAAAATGGCCGGTTTCAGAGATTTTAAGAATCGTTTGACTTATACCTTGTCGAAAGTGGAAATTAGGTGACAATTACCTGGTGTAAGTATTATGACGAGTTAGAATATAATTTTGAAATAAATGTAAGTGTTTTTCTATTACATACAACAATTAAAGTGTATTTACTGTAATTATAGAATGTTGCTGGATTTTCTGAAGTTGTCAAAGTTGGTGTTTGACTTTGACTTCTGTTATTAATTATATTGATGTCTCAACATTCATTGGCTTCTGAAACATAGTAGACATATTCATATACATGTTATTCTAATAGAATATTCTGAAGTGTTAATTTTGTATTCTATTTTTATGATGTTATTATGTTTTTTCTAATATTATTTATTCTGAAGATGAAAAAAATAAAAAAAGGAAGTTAGACAATACGAATGATAACATCGAGAAAAAGATACAAAAAACAACAAAAGATTTATTAAAAGATCCGCCTTCAATAAATACTGGAATGAATCCCGGAGCTATGATTGAAGTTATAAGAAGTTTAAGTATGTCTCAAAAAAAATGTGTAAAGAAGATGGGTTTTGGATCGCTTTTGGAGTTGAACATCAAGAGAATTCCGTTGAAGCTTGCACATTTTGTTGTTCAACATTATGATCATCAAAACAAGAGTATTGTGCTTGATAAAAAAATTAAGATCACAAAAGAAAAGATTCATAAGGTATTTGGTCTACCAAATGGAGGAAGAACCTTGTTTGATTTTCATTTTGTTGACAGTGAGAATGAAACGTATGTTACATGGAAAATCCAGTTTACAAAAGAAACAATGAATGCCACTGGATTCAAAGAAGCCATTCTGAAATCCAAAAGAGATGATGATATCTTCAAGCTAAATTTTCTTTCTTTGTTTGTGAATACGTTTGCCGAATCACATTCTTATGGGACGTGCAACATAGATCCTGTTAGAAGAGTAGTTGGAGTTGAAGACATCTCATGCATTGATTGGTGTGCGTACTTAAATTACTGTCTGAAGAATACAAGATCTCTATGGCATCAAGATAAAAATAAATGCTATTATAATGGGCCAATGTTGTTATTGATGGTATGTTTTTTTTAATTATTTTAATTATTTTTTATTTATGAATATCTAATATAATTTAAAAAACTACTATCATGCAGCTACTTTACTGTGACGGTCTTGAATGTTAGCGTTTAATCTTAAAGTCAAAAATTCCAACAATAACAATGTGGTCAACAGAGGATTTGAATAACATGCAGTCTTTTGAAATTGAAGATGGTGTGTTTGGATGTGGAAAACTTGTTATCACACAAATGACGAGAGATAGCGAAGGACCGTCCAATGTGAAAGGCAATCTTTATGACACTGTTGAGGTAACTTTAACTAAAATATAAAATATAATTTATTTTTATATTAGGTTAAAGTATGATGTTATAAAAAATTATGGATATTCTTATATTACATGTTTATGGTTCATAGTAAATATTCTAGATATTCTGAGATGATAAAATATTACATGCTTATAATTCTAGTATTTTATTATTTTTCAGGAATATAAAGAGAACTTTGATAAGATGTTCAATAAAGTTTCATCAAGAAAGGAGGACATGTATGGAATTGTTTCTGATTGTATATCAAAGTTCCCAGATGTCAATATAACAAATGAATTGAAAGAGGAGTTCATTAAGTTATTTTCAGATCCTATTTTTTCAAGTGCTGATAATCAAAACAATGAAAACAAAAAAAGGGATCACATGAAAGGGTTGAATCTCAAAATGGTGACACAGGGGAGAATGATATAAGTTCTTACAAATCACCATATATGGATAAAGCTGTGAATTTATTTGATAGAATCGATTTGCAGAATGTTCTTTTGATTCAGGTTCTAATAAGATGTGCACAGGATAAAAATAGAATGTAAGTCACTAACTCTTGCTATTTCAATTAAACATGTATTATTTTTTCTGAATTGTTGTTAAAATTATAATACATGTGGATATTTATTCTAATGTTGATGATATATTTTTTGTTCATGTTTAAAATTAAGGGAGGTACTTTTTGAAACAAATACGGGAGAGATTATGCATAGACATGATTTTGAGAGCATGCGGCCTGAACATGTTATACATCATCGTGTGATTGATTCTTGGGCTACTGTTCTAAATTATGAGGAACAAAAGTCAAAAAGTAAACCATACCGCATGTTCTTAAATACCAAAATTATGGTAAATTCTTTTACAATTGGCACTTTTATATTTTAGTTGTAAATTATAACAAGATATTCTGATTTTTCTTTTTTTCTATGTTTACAGAGTTCTGAGTTATTAGATGAAACTAAATCTTTTGACGAGCGTTTTTTAACTTTTGAGACTCGTGTTGATAAGTTTCTATCAAATTTCAAGGCAGATGTAGATTTCAATGATCTTAAACTCGTAAGAATATTTTATTAATTAAAATATTGCATTATTAAAGGATAGGAATTATGTTAACTTTTTGATCAATTTGTCGGAATTGCAGGTGGTTTTCTCAATACATAATGGTGATCAGATGTATGTTGTTGTTTTCAACCTAACATATCCACAAGTTCATATTATAGACAGCATAAAAACAAAATCGTTAGAAGAAACTTATGGAATGACACCTACATCATTAGTAAGTTTTCATTTACTTTTCTTAAATGTATTAAAGTTACAATATAATAGATTGAATAATGTAATTTTGTTAATATACATTGCAGAAATTGTACTTTATACGATATCTGGAGAAAACTACATTTATCGTCAATAAAATCAAAGGTTTGCGATCAACAACAGTGAAGATGATGAAAATTGACTGGAACACAAAGAAGTTGACAACAGAGAATGGAGAACTTTTAATAAGACATATGGAAAAATATTGTGGAGAAAAGCAAGGAAAGTGGAATGTGGAAATGGAAAAAGGCAGTGATGTACAAGATGTGCAATTTGTAAAATTACGTGCCTTATATTCTGTTAAGATTGCTACACATGAAATCAACAACCACAAGGAGAGAGTTATCAAAGAGGCAATCGAATTTGGAAAATTTGATCATGCGACTAGAAAAAGATGTTAGAGGAAGGTATCAATAGAATGGATGAATTGGAAATGGGTAATAAATAGAATTTGATAGAAGTTTGGAATTTTATAAACGTGGTTATGGTGACATAACAACAATTCCTTTTGTGATATCTATCTTATTTTGAACAAATTAGACAAAAAAAAATGATGCCTAGTATTATGTAAGAAACTTGATATGATTTATTAGGTGATTAATGCTTAATGTATAGTTGTTATTATGATCACTTCTTAATGGTCATGGTAGAATAATCTATAGTAAACATAAATTTTTTAGAATATTCTAATAGAATAATGTATAATGGCGTCATTATTCTATTAGAATAATATTAGATGTTGCATATACCTATATAACATTCTTACATGTATAATCATGTACTATAATAATTTGATAACAAAACATTATACTGCAACCATTCGTATATACTTCAATGCAAAAATTAAAGATTGAAAACATTAGAAGAATCAATATGTTTTCAAATGTATCACACATCATCACAAACCAAATTTCCCATACATCATCACAAACCAAAACATCAGAAAAATGTCCAAACTAAAGAAATTCAAACTTTTATCTATATGGTATTATTGAACTTTATTGAAATACGAAAAAAATCGAAATATATTTCTAGACACAACTATGCACTTTGTACCTTGGAGTTATTCAACAGTGTCAAATATTTCCTTGAATTATGCCCATTAACGCCACATGTTTTGCATGATCTTGATTGCTTGTTACCTTGAATAGTAGCCTTCTCCAAAGCACTTTTTAAACGTTTTCCTGTACCAGAACCTTTATTCTTCACCATAGGTGGATTTTCAACATCAACAACTTCAGGATTCGTAGTAGCTTCGTAAAGTTTATCAATATGTGCTTCTTTTGTAACCGGTGATTCGTCTGAACCTTGTTCACAAATATCAGTCATAAAAACTTCTAGCTTTTGCATGAACTCTTCTAACTTCTTGTCATCATTACTTAATGAAGCCAAGCATTGATCAAGCATGGAAAAAGCTTTGTATGCAACCTTCTCAACATTTCCAGACGAATCACCATATCTAAACGTTCTTTTCAAAACTGTAGTGGGGATAATATCTCTTCTCCATCTCTTAAGAATGTATCTTGACGGAATCTCTTGTATGTCATAAATCTTTAAAATACAGAAGATGTGTCTACAAAAATTCCAAACCGCTCAAAAAAGCATGCATGAACATTTCACCGTTAGATCTTCTCTGTTGAATTCAACATGTTTCAAAAGTATTAGGATATTAAGTATATTCAAAAAAGAAAAATTAAAATATATTTCAAAAGTATTAGAATATTAAGTATATTCTAAAAAGAAAAATTAGAATAATATAAAAATAAATTAACGACAATAATTTAGTAATAAAAATTATAATATTAGAATTATAAAATGTCAACATTACCTCGAAATCACCTTCACTGTTAAAATTCCATTCACAATCGATGTCAACTTTTTCTTTTTTCTCAACAACTACCTTCTTCTTTGATAGATTTGTCCTTTTATGTTTGACAATGCATATGTCGGAAACAACTCCTGAAGTAACACTCTTCTGTGAACAAGAAACAAGTGAATGAAGAATCTCCCTCTGCACCATGAGAAAAATAGTCCTGGTGTATACCATAGATGCATGTTTCTCCGTATCTTCAAGAAGTGTTTTGATGATTGGAATTATAGTAGATGTATCGAAATCAAATTTGATCTGATTATTCCCTTGCCTTTCCATAACAGACTCAAAAGCATTCATGAAATTGTTTAACGTATAACCATGATGCGATACCCTATTGAATGCTGAATTCTCACTTTCTGACCGAGAAGTTGTTCTCATTAGACCTGACATCGGTACATCTTTAAAATAGGCTGGAATCCAACTGCTTCTCAAATCAAACATATCTTTCATCCATTTATTGTCTTGTAACTTATATTTTACCATTAATGCATCCCATCTTACCTTCAAAAACAATTCATATATTATTCTGTTAGAATATAATATAGTATAAAAAGGCATTTCATTTAATATATTATCCTAATTACAAAAAATATTTCATTTAATATTTTGATAAGAATATAATACATTATAAGAAGGCATTTCATTTAATATATTATTCTAATTAAAAAAATGTCATTTAATATTCTGATAAGAAAAGAACAATAATGTCATATTTATATTTAAAATAATATCATATTTATATTGATAAAAATATAACAATAATGTTAGTACCTTCAGTGGAAGTTTACTTGTGATATGCCACATACAAAATCTATGTTTTGTGTATAGCAATACTATCTCAATAGCTTTTTTCATTGTTGGATCTTGATCGGTCACGACCATGATTGGTGCTTTTCCAAAACACTTCAAGAATGACCGAAGTAACCAAATATAGGAATTTGTATCTTCTCTACACAATAAACCAGCTCCAAAAGTGACGCACCTTTTGTGATTATCAATGGCAGTAAAAGGTAAAAATACCATACAATACCTAAAAAAACACAAAAAAAAGACCATTAGAATATATATAACTAAAAAATGTTTATAATTCTAGAATAAATACTTGTTTGTACGATACGTTGCGTCAAACGAAACAACATCCCCAAATAACTCAAAGTTTTGTTTTGAAGTATCATTATCCCAAAAGAGAGCATTTAACTGCTTCTTGTCACATATGTATTCGTAGGTAAAATTTGTAACATTCTCTTTACGATTCTGAAGCTTTGTAATCAACAAATTTGAATCAGTGCCCCCGATGTGACAATTTATATCCCTTGTAAAAATTTTCCAATCTATCTCTAGTCCACCAACAAATTCACATCCTCCTTTTATAACGCACATTAGCCTATATGTTGTTGTTGCCCCCACCTTTGCACTCGAAAGCTTATGTATAAAATCTTGATCAACAATATCCAACTGACGTTTAGCTCATGAAAGATGCATACAATCTTGATTTATCAATTTGTGGTTGTGTTGTTGTTCAAAGCGCCACAGGTAAACTTCTGAAGAATGTGGTATAACTTTGAATGCAACAAAAGCTTTGCAATTTGTGCGTTTACAATTACTATTTCTCAATTTCTTGTTATGATCATCACTAATTGTGTCTAAGGTAGAAGTGTTTGGCAATCCCCCTCTATTTTCATATAAAATATTTCGAAGTTGTGATTCCACTCTTTTTCCTCTCTGTTGATTTTCTAATATCAAAACCAGATCTTAATGCATATCCTTTATACCACTTAATAGCATCTTTGATATCTTTAAAAATTGAACCCATATGAGGTATCCAACTAGCTTCAACCTCTGGAATCCAAAAGAAAGAACCATCAGCTCCAATGAATTGTTTGCAAGAGCCATATTGTGATGCATTCATATGAATGTAATCATAAAAAACTACAATGTTATATGTGCATTATCCTATAAGCATAATATGCAGTAACATGAACTTATCACCAACATCATTCTATAAGAATAACCGGTATCAGTAACTGAATTACCTTGGATATGCGACTGATTTTCATCATTATGCAGAATCTTTGAATCACCATAACTGAATTGATGATTTTTTTCGTCGTAATGATCATTTCTGATGTCATTCATATCTAAATCATCCATAACTGTTACTAGGTTAAAAATTGAATATGTTATATGCAACTAACAATGAAAGCAATGAAAACTCAAACGTTGATCAATTGATCAAATCATGATATAAAGTACAATTTAACAAAATTTCCTTGGGTTTCCGATTAATTTTCCTCATTATGAAGAATCTATAAATCATTAGAACCGAACTGATGATTTTCTTCATCGAGATGATTGTTTTCGATGTCATGCATATCCAAATCATCCATAACTGTTATCATTATTGATATATAAATGTATGTACAATATTCTATAAGAATAACATGCAGTCTCATGAACTTATCACTAAGGTGCTGTTTGTTTTTTCGAAGTGAAAAATGTCTCAAGTCTGCGGACCACCTCTGCAGCCCTCTGCAGCAGAAGAGGTGGACCAAAGTGCTGCAGACTGTAATGAGAAGCATGTTTGTTTTTTTAACGTCTGCAGGCTGCTGCAGATATTAAAAAATTAAATAAAGTAAATTTAATAAACCATAAACCGAAAATAATTTTTTAATACCAAAAATTTAATAATTGTAGTCTTAAAACATTGAAATAAAATTCAAACAACCAAATTAGTCTAACAATTACATTTTTAAATAAAAATCATACAACCAAACTTTAATAATTTTCATTCCATATTTTGCATCAATTGTTCGGCAATTTCATCCCATCGTAACTGGGTCGATATTCACGGTCCGCTGCAGTACCATGTGTTGGAATGTCATCTTCATCATTATAAACGACTGCATTGTTATTCCGAAACGAGACATTTGGTTCATCATATCGTGCAAAATACTCATCACGTAGTCCCTCTCTTCTTATAAAATTATGAAGCGCAAAACATGCTAGGGTAATGTTTCGTCGTGTAACCAACGAGAATGGTGACATCCTCTTCAATATAGGGAATCGTGCTTTCAAGACACCAAAAGCACGCTCAATGACATTCCGAAGTTTTGCGTGTGCATGGTTAAATTTTTCTTTATTCGTTAATGCACGTCTTCGACGGAAACCTCCAAGCCAATACCTCACATTTACGGTACGGTGCCATAAAACCTCGAATGTTTGCATAGGCGGCATCACAAAGATAATATTTATCTGTAAAAAAAACAAAAAAAATTCATTTATTTTTCAAACTAAGATAAAACTATTTAAATAACCATAAATTTACCTGATGGTGGAAGCGGGAATGGTGCATGTGGATTTGCTAATGCTTCTGATAAAATTCTAGAATCGTGTGTTATCCTTTCCCACCCGGCCATAACAAACGTAAACATCATGTTGAAGTCACATATTGCCAATACGTTTTGGTAACAATCGCCTTTTCCCCTACTTCTATATAAATCTCGTTTGTTTGCAGGGACAACGACATGTATCAAAGTGCATCAAGTGCACCAACTGTTCCCTTGAACACCCGCCATAGCCTCCTATTATGTCCCAGAATGTTTGGATTCAGATTAAAAGAAGTTGGTACTATAATGTCATGTGCGAAAAGCAACATTTTGTCCAACACTTCATGAAAAAACTTATGAATTGTTTGCTTTGAGTGTTGAAATCTCCGCTTGATAATCACATAACGTTGGTTATGATGACCGATCATCAAAAACATAGCCATCTTCTCCTCCTTCTCCTCAACCGACACATGTTTGCTATCCTTTAATGCGTGGTTTACTCTGAAATGAGCACATACCCGGACAAATGATTCACGAGACATGCGTAGCACTTCAAGACATTGTAGAGGATTACGGTGAAGTAACTCTAACGTAAATTCATGTCCCGTCATTTCCGAATCGTTGTCCCGCACTTGTTTGACACCCTTCTTCCAAAAGTAGCGGACGTACAAGTACATTAGAATTATGAGTAGTATCTTTTTGTCGTGATCCATTACGAACCTATTAATCAACAAAACATAACATGACATAAGATAAGATAATAACATAACATAAGATTCAAGTACCAAAAACATAACATAAATTTCAAGTACCAAATAAAATAACATAAATCTCAAGTACCAAATAACATAAGATTCAATTACCAAAAAACATAATATTGAAGTACCAAATACTACAAATAACATTCAAGTAGCAAATAACCAAAAAAAAATAACCATATAGTTCCAAAACATGCCTTTAAAACCAAAACAAAAACTAACAACTCAAACATATACTTAACGAACAATTTTTCCATCCTTTAAAACTCCCAAACTTGTAGCTGTCATCTCGATTCATCCTCTTAATATTTGTGGATCATTGGGCAAATTTACCCACATCTCTCTTATATTCATGGTCCCTCCAAAAATGTGATACACATCAAATCGTAGAGGGTCTACTGGGCCTAACTCGAGCAACTCAAGCTTCTCTAAACATTGGGGAATTGTTGGCCCTTGAGTCAAATGGCGTAGAGCTTTTTGCATCTCTAGTGCTAAATCATCAGCAGTAATAGAAGCTTTAGGCGAGGCACACGAAGGTGGATCAGGTGAGGCACTAGGAGCTCGAGGTCTAGGAGTTGAGGGTTTAGACCTTTTTTTGGGGTTACCAGATGGTGAAGCAGCAGAAGGTGAATCAACAGAAGGTGAAGCAGCAGAAGGTGAAGCAGAAGAAGGTGGCGGCGGAGTAAAATGCTCACTAGTATGATTGGAAAAGTAATCATCTTCATCTATGTTAATGGAAGGGGCGTCCATTAACTGTAGTGATGCGACATGGAAAGAAGATGATCCCTGTCCCGATGGTGTTTGGGATGTGGCATAGCTGAGATTACCAGATGCACTGTTTCCATCAAAGAGTTCTGCACAAAGCTCTGGAAACAACAATGGGACGGTTTTCAAAGAAGCGGTTTTCAGATGTCCCTAAACCCAATCAATGTAACAAAAGTAATATAAGAATTAATGACAACTATATAAACAATATACATATAAATATGTGTGTGTGTATATATATATCTTTTTAAAGTCCTCCCACTCCTCATTTGTTAAGTTAAAAGTATTTGTTTGTGGATTGTAAAGGTTTCCAGTTTTGTTTTTTAAGTATAACCATCCTGTGTATTTGGCTTTAAGGTTATCATAGGCGTTTTTTAATTGTCGTTGATTCAAATCCACGCCATACTTTTTCCTTAATGGTTGTTCCTAACTTGTGCCATGATTTTTTTGTGCAAACTCAAACCTTTTCTACCCACGGTTTGTACTTCTTCAATACAAGTGAGCAATAAGCATTTTGTTTGCTTATTGGTCCATGTATGTTTATCTCCCATTGCTAATAACAAAAAAATATAGAATACATACTTTAGCAACAAAGATTAATCATATTTCAACATAATCAACAAATAAGTTTAGCATATTCAACATTTAAGCACAAACTTGCAAATAAGCATAAACTTGATCTCCATTCAAGAAATACAAGTGATAATAATTCAACAAATAAGTTTAAAAAAACCATTTCAGCTAACGATTTCAGCATATAAACTTGCATATGAGTTTATGATTTCAGCATATAAGTATATGATTTCAGCATATAAGTATATGATTTCAGCAAGGATTATGATTTTACCCAACATTCATAACAATTCAACACAAAAATTCATGAACCTAAACATAAATTTGAGCATAAAATTTTTTTAAAAGAACAAAACACAAACTCCCAGAATTATAACAACAGCACTAAGCTGATTTTAACTCAATTTATGGCTCTAATATCTCTAACTGGTAGAATTATAACAAAACAAAACACAACTTTCTTATAGATCATGGTGGATCTGCTGAAAAACACCAATTATGGCCCTTATGAAACCATTAAAATCATGAGATTATCATCTTTTTCTTCAATCTAATTTCACAGTTTCAAAGTTTCAGAAAAATGAATAAATTACCAGTGAATAAGAAATCAGAAAATTCATGAGATTATGTTTAGGCACTCAAATAAGAAATCAAAATAACAAAGTTTCAAAGTTTCAAAGTTATTTCACAGTTTCAAAGCTTATTTCACAGCTTCTCTCTTCAATCTTATTTCACAACTTCAATCTTATTTCACAGTTTCAAAGTTTCAGAAATATCATGAGATTATCATCTTTTTCTTCATATTTAGTTACTCAAATAAGAAATCATGAAAAAAACTAACATGTTGATGTTGATGTTGAAGACGATGGCAGACGGTGGCTTGGGCAGCGAAACTAGCGACCGGCGACCAGCAGCAGCAACGAGCGGCGAGCGGCAGCAGTAAGCGGCGCTCAGATTTCTTCCGGTCTTCAACAGCGTCGACGACAAGGGAGAACGAAGGGAGAAGAAAGAAGGAGGACGTTTCAACTACAATTCTTTTGTCCGTGTTTTTTTTTGTTATTAGGTTTAGAAGTGGTGAGAAAAGGCAAGCCCAATGCTGCGTGGGGAAGAGGACGGGAAGAGGTTTTTGAGCCCGAAGCCTTCTAAAAATCAAACTGCTGTGAACTTAAAAGTGATGCGCGTGTGCTGCGCGGCGCAGCACTAAGAGGTTAGAAGAGGATTTTTAAAAAAAAAACAAACACAACCTAAGATGATGTTAATGAAAAGCAAATAGATGATGTTAATCAAAAGAAAACAGATGACATATTGCTGAAAAACATAATGATTGAATGAAAGTTAAAAATCAAACAATGAATAGATGATGCTTGTCCCAATAACATATTATAGATTAAATTGTGTTCTAGGTCAAACAAATTCAACAACAAATGATGTTTGATTGCTGAATTGGATGTCTCAACAACAGATGATGTTTGATTGTTGAAATCACAAATCATACAAATATAAAATTAGAGAAATCGATAATAGCTTGATGATTTAATTCATGAACTAGGTTAAAAATTGAATATGTTATATGCAAGTAACAGTGAAATCGATGAAAACTCAAACCTTGATCAATTGACGATTTCATGATGTTGAGTAAAGCTCACAGCTTGAAAGATCGTAAACAATTTTTGAAGATGAAGATTGGCAGAAATCGTTGAACACTTGAACCTCTACCGAAATCGATGAT